AAACAAATGAATCCCCTTTGTGGACAAATGCAGAAAATTTGGGTGCTATTTGTTTGGATTGTGTTAATGAAGCCCGAGACAGCTTAAAAAATGAACAGGAAGAAGAATATGACGATAAACAAGACGGAGAACAAAAATCCAGCAAAAAGAAAACCAGGCTAACGCGTTCTTATAAAACCAGACTAAATCCTTTTGCAATACCAAAGCTAGGTACATCTAAAGGGAAAGGTAGAAGGTCTATGTTTAAGAAGGCTCCTATTAAAGCTCCAGATTCAGTTGCAACTCCCATTACAGGTCAAAGCGTTTTTTATAAGGTAAACAACGCGTATGTTAAAGAAAAGCCTCTTGTATTGACATGGGGAATTGTATTTTGAGGGTTCGTATTTCCAAGTGGGTGATATTGTATCAATGATTGATGAAGAATTTAATTTATACTATGCACAACTGAGAGGGTTCCTAGTTGATCAGTATTGTGAAAAAAGTGCTGTTGTCACTTGGCTTTTACCAACTAAAGAAAGTCCTCCTCCAGAAGAAGGTTTTGACCCAGCAACATATGTAATTGGTAAGAAAATTAACATTTAAAATAAATTTCTGACCATGAATTTAAATGATATTTGAAAAATGTAATATAATTTGATAGGTCCAGATGAAGAGTTGCCAAGGAAACTAGAATGTATGGAATTTATCATGCATGCACCATCTGATTATTACAAAGCAAAAAATACTCCCTACCCACCCATTGAAGCCCCTGCTGAACCTGGATACATTTGGACAAGTCTTCATTCTATCCATAAGTAGATTTTAAAATTTCTATATTTTAACTTTATACAAAATCATGTTTTATTCCGATACTAAAGTAATAAAAATAATATAATATGTAATTGTTCGCTTAAGAATGTTTATTTTATTTATACAACATTCTCAGCTACCCATTAATATGTAAAAGTTCTGATAAAATATCGTTTCTGTAACATTCTAGCAGCTTTTCCATACCTGACTAAACTATATTTAATATTAATAATAGGCTTATAATAAACTGAAAACAAAAATTTCTGAAAAACATGATGAACGCACATTATCTTTCAAAAAATTATTATAATTGTACCACTTAAAAATTCAAATCGTAATTAAAAACACTATTGTAACTGTATATTAAAAATACAATAAAACATGCAGGCGCCACATTATTTCCATCTTTTAAACAATTAAGAGATACTTTTAAAGCCTTTAATCTAATGTCAGTCACTGATGTCTTATTTGGAAATTATCAGACGAACAACTAAGCAACTGTATTGTTCAACTTTAAACAATGTTTAGGTAGATTTTTTAAACGACAGAGAAGAATTTAACATCATTTTTGAAAGGCACAGTTAAATGAGCATGGATGATTTGCCCCTACAGGCACAAGTCTCAACTCCTTTTGACTATGTTACTATCATTGGAACTGATCTATCTTGAAATTTGTAAATACTGTACAGAAATTTCGTGTCTACTATTATTGGAAATAAATCGTTTCCATTAATAGGAACTTGTACAAAAAATATGAGACTTCCGGGGTAGTTCGCTCAAGCTCATCCGGCTATTGTCTTTCTAGAAACGTATAACAAAGCAATTGGAAATATGAAAGTCAGCAGGGACAAACGAATCAATAACGACATATATATATCAATGCTATGTTCATAACATCCTCAATAATGACTTAATCGGTCATTTATTATTGACGATGCAATCGATAAAAAAATAATTTCTTTCATTTCTAAAGTTTACCTCGTCAGTAGTATCGCATTATTTCCTTTTTTGCCCGTCACCCCCTTGGATAAGTAAAGGACTTGTTGGACGTTGGGGGGTAACAACCCCCCGGTACGTCTCAGTCCGTTTTGGCCAGTTGAAGCACGTGAAGAATGACCTCGTCGACCGTCTGGTTGTTTAACAGCGACTTAACAGCTTCGTCGTCTATCACTACGGTAAATAGGAGCTTTGCGTTCTCACGTAAACGACCAATGTAATCGAAATCCTCATCAGAAGCTGGTTTGTGCCCGCAACGTTTGATTACTGAGTCCAGTATTTTATCGACAGGGGCATCGGGCCATCCAAAAGCTTGCAATGTTTCCTCGTCAACCAGAAGCGTGAGAAGTTCTTTGATAGAATCAGTCAACGTGAGTTCGTTCCAGATCCGATTGTCGCACAACGATGAACCGCTCTCTCTGTTCGCCGCGGCCGCGGAAGCCGCTTTCAGTAACTGCTGCTGAAGACGTTTCTTTTCCGCTCCAGCCATTATGTCTTCCAAAAGGTCCCGATGTTTGGCACGCATATGTCGTAATAGGCAGTCCTGGCGAATGAAAGCTCGGCCGCATTCGTCGCATTTGCATGGCTGCTCTTTGCGGTGAGTCAACAGGTGAAGTTTGAGCGAAGACTTGATGGCGAAACGTTTTAAGCATACCTCGCATTCGAAAGCTATAACAAAATAGAGTTTTTGATATGAAAAAATTGGTAACACAAGTCCAATGAAACTTACGCTTTACTCCAGAATGGAGCAGTTCATGTCTGGACAAATCTTCCTTGCGATAGAATGATTTCTCGCATTGGTTACATTGTAACGGTTCGGCACCCTCATGGACGAACTTGACGTGCATCGTGAGGCGCGCTCGCCTATTGAAGGCCCGGTTGCAATGGGGGCAAGTGTATGCGTTTTCACCGGTATGGTGAAAGATGTGAGCACGTAACTGCGCTGCTTGGATAAAAGCCTTGCCGCAAAACTGGCACTTGTGCGGCTTGTGACCCGTGTGGGTACGCACGTGACGATTAAGAGTCTCTTTAGCCGCAAATTTGTTTCCACACTAAAAACAAGATAAAATACACATGTAGTTAGTGTCAAATACAAAAAAAATTATACAGTATTCATTAATCGAGTTGTGGTAGGTAGAATATTTTTTAATATTTAACTTGACTCACTTTGGCGCATTCATAGGGCTTCTCTCCCGTATGCATTCGTCGATGCTTCTTCATTGCGCCACTTGAAGGAAATCGTTTAGGACAAAGGTCACAAGGATAAGGCCTTTCGCCTGAAAAGAAAATTAAAGTTAAAATGAAGTGCATGCAAGTTTCAGCTTTTTTGTATCTAGTTTTGTTTACAACTAGAATTGGAATAATTGTAGAGTTAAATAAATTAATTAGTAACAGATAGGATAGGGAAAGTGATTTACAAAGAACAAAGAAGTTCATCTAGTAATGTGACAGAATATGTTTTTTAGTTTTTTTTTTTTTTTGATTCTCTCAATTTGAGATTACTGTTAATTTTTCTTTATAGCTCTTGTGTATCAATTGGATAATTATTTTCTTACCAGTATGGGTTCTCATGTGAACTATTAGTAAAGTAGAGCCGTGAAATTCCTTCTGACAATATTCACATACAAAAGTCCTCTTCTTTTTCACGTTACCTGCATGGCTTCTGAGATGTTCTCGAAGATTGTCTTTCCTTGCAAAAATTTTCTTGCAAATCTGAAAGTTGCAAAATTACTCAAAAAATAAACTACTACTAAGACAAATAAAATTTAACTTACGGGACATTTAAACATCATTTTAGTACTACCGTTACAACCTGTCTGGGAGTAGTGCCTGATGAGATTGTACTTTCTTGCAAATTCCTTATGGCATTCTTTGCAATAGTAAGGCTTTGTTAATGGATGAATGGTCATGTGCTCAATGAGTTTTTGACGTTCTGGAAACACCTTCTCACACTCGACGCATTTCCACATATCGTTACCATGCTCGATACTCTGGTGGCGTTGAAGACTGTTGGACATCACGAACAGCTTACCACATTCATTGCATTCATAATCACCCGTCTAGATAAAATTATTTAATAAATAAAATATTATCACAAGGGGATCTACAAAATTCGATAAACTAATGCTAATTNATAAATAGAATAACAATTACATACACTTTAATCTTTCTTTTCACAAACAAGTTGGAAGAGAAAATTTCAAAATTCGTAAATCAGAATAAAACTTACTAAAGTAAAGTTTTATTAAACTTACTCACTGTGTCCACTTGATTTCCTAACTTCAGCCTTGGTGTTTGCTATGGACGAATCTATTTTTGATAGGAAATGAGAAACATCATCATTATCTATATAGCTAGGTGAGGACACAGATGGAGGTCGTGAAGAAGATGAACTGGCTTCAGAAGGTGGGCTTGTTATGTTACTCTGACTTTCACTAAATGCAGCAAATGGACTATCTTCTGGTATAGGAATTAACAAATACTCTTTTAGAAACAAACTATCCGATGTGTACATTCTGTTTGCCCTTCTGATATCTTCCATCTATTAATTCGAAATTAAAATAAGTGATTTGGAAAATATTAAAAAAAGAACTAAGAAATTAAATGACTTTAAAATAGTACTCACTGTAACTTCATACTTTAGGGCTAATCCTTGAAGAGTATCCGTTTTTGCCACGGTATGTTTAATAAATTTTTGATTTTTATTTACATGTTTACTAGTACTTCCATATTTCTTCAAAGAACGTACGGAATCCCGAATGGATAGCCTTTCATAGGGACTGTCCATTTCTGATTTTTCCTACGACTTATAAGGTTTAAATATCAACGTTTTATTTTATGCACATTTCACTTATCATACAATAATAAACAAACTACCTCTTCAGAAATTAAACTATATTTATTTTGCGCATATAACTTAGAACAAACAAATTTCATTTTTGTGAGGTTCATTCGTCATTCGATGAGAAGACGTGCATTTTTATTTACTTTCTAATTCAGATCATATGAACAGGTTTAGCAATAAACTACCGACCGTTAAAAAGATAACGATTTATAATAAACAGCATGAAAAAACCGAATCACGTAGTGAGTGGAATAATTAAACTTTTTTGACGGTATTTGACTTTGACGTTGGTTCATTTTTTGTTGGTGCTTTCATGACAGATTGAAGTATTGAAGGTCATATGCAAATGAAATAGTGTCACATACTACGATTAACACTACAATAAGTTAATTTTTAAAAAATAGTTATGTGTCTTTTTAAACTCTATAAAATATAATATCAAAATAAAACCCATAAATCAGAAATGTTGATGAGCCACTCACAGCTGATGTTTTAAAAGTTCGCTGACAGATTGTACAGGGGTTTTGTTCATCATTACTTGACTCATTTTTTTTAGGTTTAACTTCAAAATCAGGGTCATTAGGATCATCTGTGGTTTCACTATTGTAATTTATTTCAGCTTCATCATCTTCTGTCATGAGTTCTTCTTCATCCTCAGTTTGCATTGATACTCTCATTGTCTCATCATCTTCATTTGTTGCATCCTCCTCAACAGAGGATGCATATTCTTGTGTTTGTTCTTCAATTTCAAAGTCATCTGCATCATGGATTTCCAGATATTCCCCTGTTTCAGCAATCTGAACGTACTTCTGTCCTGATCTTAGTTGTATATATTGACCCCCTGTCTCCACTTGAATAAATTCAGAGTCCAGAACATTTTCAGCTTGTTCTTCTATTATAAAGTCTGATTCTACTTCTTCATGACCATCTTCTTCAACTTCTACTTCCTCAATTCGGTCTTCTGTTTCTTCATCTAATGTGGGGTTATTTAGATCGCTGAACAGTAACAGACATAAAATTGGTGTATTTGTACAAAAACAAGACAATCACTTCTTTTATACCAACCTTTCATGTGGATCATCAAAAGTGTTTATTTCCAAATTACCATCAGAATTTGTGGCAGGTGGGAATCCATCTAAAAAGATTGATTGACTGTTGCTCACTGATGGTAGTTCTACATTCTGTAGCAAAGTTGTCTTTATATCTTCCTCTTCACAGTCAAACTCAACAGGTTCAGTTTTCTGTACAATCAATGAAGAAGTTTCTTCTTCCTCCATTGTATTCTCGTAATCCTTAAACAGAAATAGTATTTCATAAATCCTACAATTACAGTATTTAACTTGCAGTATTATTGTGGCACAATCCCCATTTAATATGCAATTATGAGGCAGGCGTCTTTAAGTCTAAAATAATAAAGTCTATTTAAGAAATAGTTTGTTTCGTTAAAGCAAAAGTTAGGTTATGTGTGTCTACATGAATAATAAGGGTTAAAGTCACAATTAAAAAATAAAAAATAAAGTGCGCCTTCATTAGAAAAACTATAATGAATTTACCTATCTTATACGTTTAAAAATCCGATTTCCACTTTCATTTAAAAAGTACCGATCCAAAACAGATACTTGTTCTACAGTCTGGTGGTGCACTTCTTTCAATTTGTTAAAACAATAATTATGGCTTCTAAAGAAAGTCTCGGCCATTTGTCGAATATGAACTTCCAATTAAAGGAATAATTGGAAATATTTTTACATTAAACAAGCACTGAACGATAATAAAAAGAAACAAACTAAAAACTACCCGCTTGGTGGCACTCAGATTGATAATAATAAACAAAATAAATACTTACGCCCCTGGAAAGTCGTCAACCGTTTTATCACCCGTATAACAAAATGGTAGATGTGGAGTATTTGCAGGCGCGGTCATTAACGTCACAGTTGTTACTTGTTACCAACTGTAGAATATATACGAATATTCGTGTACGTTATTTTATTATTGATAAAAACGTTCAATGTAATGAGAAATTACTAAGAAAAATATTTCATCCTTCAAAATTCTTAAAAAATCACAAACCTGGGGATAATAATGACGATTTCTCAATTTTACAAATGCCAATTTATACTTTTTGTTGTTTTGTTAGGTTTGTTGGGTTGCGGATGTTTCCAATTTTGCAATAATAATAATACTTATTATGGACCGGAAATAGAATTATTTGAATAAATTTCTAAAACAGTAAATCTTTATATGTAAGTGCTACTATTTCTTTCAATGAACAAATAAAAAAGCCTCTAAGCAATAACAAAATTTATCTTCTTGTCATTAAACACACATGCGGTATACATGCTCTCTGAAATCATATCTACTTGATCGTCCTGGCAACGCAAATTTAAACTATCAACAAAAATGATTAAAACTATTAAAACAATCAAGACAATGGTTAGCGAGTGTTACTTTTTTTATTGAAATTTAGGTTTTATACAGAAATGTCAGACGACATTAATACAGAAACTATCAAAAATACTCAAAAATTATTAGGAAAATATGTAAAAAAACCCGCGCTTACGGAGAAACTTCTCAGAAAACCGCCTTTTCGCTTTTTACACGATGTTATCACCTGTATAATTCGTGATACTGGTTTTTTGAAGGGTCTCTATAGTGAAGACGAATTACAATCCGATAATGTTAAGGAAAAAGACGCAAAACTTAATTTTCTAACAAAATTAATCGACGCCATGAGTAAGTGGTCTAATTTTTTCCAGTTGTAGTATATGCTGTACGTTACTTTAATTACATTAATTACTAATAACATTTACCCTTTTTTAAGAGTCAATTACAGGAAAGGAAATAAAGGCCCGTCCAGGTAAGATAATAGCTGGTTTAGAACCAAAAGAAACAAATCACCTTTTGCAAATAATTGCAAAGGCTTTGGACAAAAAAGTAGACAGCTCTGTATATATTAACAACTTGAACAAAGAAACTAGAAATATGACTGGCCAAAAGGAAAAAAAGAGAACCCCAAGTACTATTCGTGATGCCAGTAGTGATAAAAAAACAAAGACGTCGTCAAAAAATTCTACACCTCGCAGAAATGATAAGGATAATGCATCAACTGACAGAATGAGAAAATCAAAAATTAATACTGAATCTGTAACTAATTCTAAAGCAAATAAACATGGTAAAAATAAAGAGAAAGACATTAACAAGGAAGGACAAAAAATAAGAACAGATACAAAAGAGTCTGAAGAAAAAGAAGAAAAACAAAATTCGAATGAAGACATCAAGGAAGAACATAATGAAAAGTTGGAAACACTTGAAGAAGTTCAAGATAAAGATGACATTAAAAGTGAGGAGGAAGTTGAACCCAGCAAAAGTAACATAAATGAGAATAATGATGGCAAAAACAAGGAAGAAACTATTACAAGTGATAGCAGTAAGGACAATATGAAAGTCAAAGAATCCAAATTAAAAGACGATGATATAAAAAATTCTGTTGATGTCCTACTGCAGAAAAAGGACACAACACTGATTCGACCAAAATCTGCAAAGCCAAAAAGCAGCGGATTAGGGAGAGAAAGAGGAAAACAAATTGTATCAAACATTCCATCAGAGAACACTGAAGAGTCTAATAAAATCAACGAATCAAATGGTGAGCAATTGACTTTAACAAATTTCTGTAGTTGGTTTTTTTTAATTTGCTCTAAATTACTTTTTTCTTATTCAACCATATTCTGGTTTCTGAGTGTTAAAATTGCCAGAATGTTAAATTTCTTATTAGTAAACCAAATGAACTTTTAAATTTTATCCTCGTATACAGTCCAGAATATATTTAGTTACAGATCAGAATCATTTTCAAAGACCAAATACATCGTTGTTACGTCCACCTTCCGTGCGACCATCAAGTGCAAGACCTGGTGCCCCTCGTCTAAAGCAAGAGCCGGTCATACCTTCTGAAGAAGTCGTTCCTATGGGAAAGGTAAAGGTAATCATAGAAAATTTCGACAAAAACGACGTTGACGACGAAGACACGGTTACAATTCAATTAGTAGAACCACCGGAAGTTTCTACTCGATCGCCTGCTTTATCCTCGGATGTCCGGGGACATCTCGTCGAACAGATACTTGAACAACTTCAGAATGACGACGAATCAACAGCAAACTTAAATAAGACGTCCCAAGTCGAAATTGAATGGGAACAAGAGGAAGGTAAAAAAAGGCATTTTAAAGTTAATTAAAAAAAGAATTTGCTATCTTAAGCTTAAAATATGGCAATGAAAAGGTTCCCATATTTTTTGTAGCAGTAACTTGCACAAAAAATATGTGACTTTATGAACCTCTGAATACTTTTCTCATTACATTGATTATAAAATACTTTTAAGATATTAAAATGTAAAACATTTATCAGGTTTAGGAGGAAAAGATGCAGTAAATAAGGAAATAGATCAGGTACGAACCACTTTACAGCAGCTTACAAAGTGTGCGAATCCTCTAGGTAAAATGTTGGGATATTTGCACGAAGACGTTGATGCTATGCAGGCAGAACTGAATATGTGGTGGGAAAGCAGGAAACAGGCTGAAAAGGAGATCATAGAACAGAAAAAGTATAATAATTATTTTTTTTTCTTATTGTATATGCTTCACTTCATACCTGTAACGTAAATTATTTATTATCATTAGAGCCATAGAAGAGGAACAAAAGCCATTATTGATCCAATTGGAGACCGTTAGGGGAAATATCGAAAAATATAAGAAACAAATTGCAGCTGCGGAAGCCAACATACTGCAAAATGAAAGAAGAATACAGAATTTACTACTTCTAAGCTAAAAAAATATTATATACTCCAAATTGTATCTAACACATGTAATAAATTGTTTTGTACAGCATTTATTAAGGTTTTGTTTAAATTTAATATAGAAAAAGAGAAAACCATAAGTAATTAACAATTTATTATTATTGTTTTCAGTTTATGATTTACAAAAAAAAAAAAAATTTAAACAAACACTTATTGTCGGCTACTTACAGGAACTGTTACGTCCATTATTCCACCTGACCAATTGTATGAAATATTTCAAAAATATTTTGTAAAATAAAGGACCCAACGTTCCGCAACTTTAAAAAGTGCAAATAAAATAACAATGTATATAATGAAAAATAATAAGTATCATCACAACAATAAAAATTGTGCAGTATGTGATGAATACAATAAAAAAATATGTGTAAATATAGGGAAACTTTTCAATTTTTTAACATCACAACTAAAGAGTGAAGAAAATGCAGCAACATTTCGTTGGTTTAAATTCTTAACGTTTGCTTTGCAACACAGGAATCCCCTCTGCTGTTATAGTTAATTAATAATTCACGAAAAAGAGAAAAGAACTATATGAATAAAAAATATATGACGAAATAATGGAATAAAACTATAAATTCTTACTATATATAAAGTTATGTATGTAATGNCCGTTTAGGTTTTGTTTATTTATTTATTGGTTTTTATTAATAATGCCGTTAAGAGGTAATCCAGTATGTTTAAAATGTGAAACAAATGAATCCCCTTTGTGGACAAATGCAGAAAATTTGGGTGCTATTTGTTTGGATTGTGTTAATGAAGCCCGAGACAGCTTAAAAAATGAACAGGAAGAAGAATATGACGATAAACAAGACGGAGAACAAAAATCCAGCAAAAAGAAAACCAGGCTAACGCGTTCTTATAAAACCAGACTAAATCCTTTTGCAATACCAAAGCTAGGTACATCTAAAGGGAAAGGTAGAAGGTCTATGTTTAAGAAGGCTCCTATTAAAGCTCCAGATTCAGTTGCAACTCCCATTACAGGTCAAAGCGTTTTTTATAAGGTAAACAACGCGTATGTTAAAGAAAAGCCTCTTGTATTGACATGGGGAATTGTATTTTGAGGGTTCGTATTTCCAAGTGGGTGATATTGTATCAATGATTGATGAAGAATTTAATTTATACTATGCACAACTGAGAGGGTTCCTAGTTGATCAGTATTGTGAAAAAAGTGCTGTTGTCACTTGGCTTTTACCAACTAAAGAAAGTCCTCCTCCAGAAGAAGGTTTTGACCCAGCAACATATGTAATTGGTAAGAAAATTAACATTTAAAATAAATTTCTGACCATGAATTTAAATGATATTTGAAAAATGTAATATAATTTGATAGGTCCAGATGAAGAGTTGCCAAGGAAACTAGAATGTATGGAATTTATCATGCATGCACCATCTGATTATTACAAAGCAAAAAATACTCCCTACCCACCCATTGAAGCCCCTGCTGAACCTGGATACATTTGGACAAGTCTTCATTCTATCCATAAGTAGATTTTAAAATTTCCATATTTTAACTTTATACAAAATCATGTTTTATTCCGATACTAAAGTAATAAAAATAATATAATATGTAATTGTTCGCTTAAGAATGTTTATTTTATTAACC